CCCCCGGGGGGTGGGGGCCGCGCCCCCTCCCTGGGCCAGCCCCTTCCAGTGCCTGACAGCCCTTGCAGGGAAGAAATTTATCCTAACATCCAACCTAAACCTGCCCTGGTGCAACTTCAGACCATTTCCCCTTGTCCCATCGTCCGTTACCAGGGAGAAGAGGCCGACCCCCACCTCACTACAGCCTCCTGTCAGGTGAGAATACGTGAGAGCAGCCCGGGAAGGACTTTGTCGGAGCACCGAAGATGCTGGCTCCGGGTCTGCAGCAGCAGACAGACCCCCCCAACCTGGCAATGGGGGCACTCGCTCGGGCAGCTCCCTCCTGCTACAGCGCTGGGAATCCCCGGCTCACCCGAGTGCTCTTAGCGTTGCCAAAATGACCAACAATTTCCACTTCGAGGCCCAAAGCTCCTTTTCTACCACAACAGCAAGCCCTGCTTGAGCCGCCAGCCGGAATTACCAACCGCACCGACACCCCGTGGAAGGGGCTGGGGGGCTGCATTTCTGCCCCCAAGCAGGCAGGAGCTGGCAGCTCTGACCCAAGCAGCCTCGCAGCCCCCTCCCCCTGCCTGCTAACGCCTGCTGGCACCACGTGCCATCAGTCACCGCGCTTCTGCCACCGCTCCTTTGATGCAGAAGAGAAACGGGCCCCAGAGGAACGGGCCAGGGTGGCTCAGCCCCGCTGGGTTTGCAGATGCAGACACGCTCGGCTGAATTTTAACGCAGGCAGAAGCGACACAGATGTGACACGGTTAAGCTGCTGTACCTTTCCCTGCCCAGGCAGGACCAAATGCTCCAGTTTGGAGTATTTTTGGAGAGGCTGCCCAGGCCAGCTTCCCCACACAGCTCTAATTTGGGGGACCAGCAGGACAGGGCTGTGGCAGGCAGCCCCGACTCTACTCACCTCCTGCGTCGACTCCTTCTCCTTCTGAAACTGGTGCCTCTCCTGACTCAGCTTGTCCCCCATCTTCCTCTTTTTCTCCTGCTCCTCTGTGAGCTGCACCGTGAGGTCTTCGATCTCATCCAGCAGCTTCTGCTTCTCCTGTAACGACAGGAAAGACAACAACAGTCGGAGAGCCCGTCTCCATTCGGCGCTGCCAGGGCTCTTCCCACTCGCTCGAGGGCAGGGCCCACGCCGAGCACGGCGGGGAAGGCTGCTCTCGCTGACGCATTCGGATGCTCTGCCTGCTGGGATTTCATTTGCCGTCTGAGGGCTTCAGAGCCCCCAGTGCTTTGGCAGCAGCAAGAAGAGCCACGTGCCAAAATAGCACCGCTAAAGGAGGGGTCGTAAGAGCTGACTCGATAAACGCAGGCAGGCAGACATCCGCGCTTGTGCCGCTCTCCGGGCAGCGTGATGCCAGCGTGGGACGTGGCTGGGGTGGGACTGGGGCCACCACAGGGGGTACAGGCCTAGAAGAGACATTAAATTGGACTAGATGACCTCTAGGAGTCCCTTCCAACCCAAAACATTCTATGATTCTATAAATCATGAGGCTCCTTAGGTCTGAATTTCAGAAAAGCCATGAATCTGAGACCTTAAGCCACTCTAAAGATGCTCATTCTTGGTTTCAGGTATGAAGGAATTGAACTGAGGGTTGCCCCAAGAAGAAATACGACCATTTCAAGCCAGGATGTAAAACATACAGTCCAGCTCTCCTGCTCTGTCCCCTTCTTACGCTCCAAGCCTTGGCTGAACGTTTGCGATGGCAGGCAAAGCTTGTCACCGGGCGATGACAACAGCCCGGCGCAGGACGCTTCCCTGTAAGCCCTCTGCCTTACGACCAACTCACCCCCTCCCCAGGCTCACACCTTCCAGCCTGGCTCTCCCCGTGGGGAAGTTTTTTTTGCTTTCAGCAAGCCAAAACCACCGCAAGACCCCAGCCAGCCCTGGTGCTGGATGGCCCATGCCACGACGAGGTGAGGAGCAGCTCCGAGGGGGCGCTCCGGCTGCTGGGTCTGGGGTGTCCTGGTGCGTGGAGCAGAGCACCAAAAGCACCGCACCAGCAGCAAACGCAACGCTGACAACGAAATCCTGATTTCAGACACTGGACAAAGACGGCAGCCCCATCAGCAGGGCTTCTCTCCTCGGCAGGGAGGGGCAGCAACTGCACCTCTCCCTCCTTGTTAATCCCATTAACCGTGGAGAAAAGCAGCACCGCTCTGCAGGGAGATTAAGGATCAAAACCAGCTTCGTGTGGCTGAAACACACCCAGGCAGGGAATTTACCCTCAGACCCACAGCGGTTTTCCTTCCCCCAAGGCTCAATGCACTGTGCTTACAAGGTCTTGGCAGAGAAAGACCACTCCATCACGGCCACGTCAGGTAGAGAGGGAGCTGCAGCGCTCGCCCGCAGGCTCAAAGACTGCGAGCGGATGAAATGCTTGAGGGCCTTCAGCTGGGCAGAGCGCCTTGATTTCACTTAAATTTTAACCTTACATCTGCCACAAGCTTGAACAGAAACAAAAGGCAGCCTTTGCAGCAGATGCTACATCCGTAACCCACATCCCCTCCAGAAATGAGGATCTCGTCCGTCCCATGGAGATGGCGGCGCCTCGGCAAGCCTCCCACCCTGGCAAGCCTCCCACCCCGGCCCCGTCGGCACGGCCGTGAATCCCGAGCAGGGTGAGAGGATCCGGGAGATAACACGGCGATTTGAAGGCTCAACTCGCAAATCCCAGCGAGGACATTATCTGCCCGGGGAAGGACGAGATGAAGCACGCCCGCTCCTCTTCCTCCCTCGCAGCACTGTCCCGCTGCGGGCTGCAGGATGGGGACAAGCTTCCACAAGAGGGCACGAGTCCCCTCCTAACCGGCCAGGCCAGGGCTGCCACCGCTGCACCCCCAGGCTGCACTCTCAGATTTATTAAGGGTTTGTTAATCCCAGCTTCCAAGCCAAACAGCGGGAAGCTGCCCGGCCAGCGGTATGGGATAGCTCTGCTCCGAGGGGAGCTCTGCAGGGACTGGAGGGCAGAAGCAGCTCATTTGCTCGTTACATTAAACGGATCTCACATAGGCCCTTCGTTTAAATGAGAATTTTGGCTCCAGCAGTGTGGGGCAGCAGGTGGGAACCCAGAAACACAGCTCTGGCTCGGGCACCCCAAGCAGACACGGTCCTTACCTCCTCTAGTCTTTCAATGTTTGCTTTTAAACAAGGGACGCAGGACCTCAGCTCGCTGTTCTCATCATCCAGTTGCTGCAGCCTGCAACAGTGAAGAGACGCGTAAGAAACTCACCCGAGCATCCCAAGTGTAGGAGACTTGGTTGAAACGTCGCTAGGAACATTAAACCAGGGCCTGCTGAAGGCCAGCCAGCGGGGATTTATCTGTTCAAAGCAAATCCTGAGACTTTCACTATTTCTACTCTTGGGGAAAAAAGCAGGGCATCCACGTGACTTCTGGCGAGTCGGGTGCCGTGCCCTTCTCAATCAGGTCCAACATTATTCTTCAGGCTTCATCAGTCCATGGGCAAGCCTCAGCACTGGGCACCAAAAAACGGACACGTCGCCTGGGCAGAGTTGGAGCAGGGATGCAGAGAGGGCTTCAGCTTTGCATTCTCCAGGGAAAGCAACATCCGTCCATCACGGTAACCGTCCTACTACAAACCCCCCCACTGCCTTCATCTTTCATTTGCTGCAAGGGTTGAACAATAGCAAAGCACATTCTGGAAAAGCAGCAAAACCCCTGACAAATAAATGAAACCTCTCCTACACCCCTTCTTCCCCTGGAGGCCAACGGGTGGCATGAGGCACCCTATCTGGGACGCTGCCTGTTGGACAACTCTTCCTCCCCAGGTTCTCTGTTTCCACGAAGGTGGAAAACATCTGGCCATCAAACACACTTCCACGGGAACGAGCACTAACGAACCACCTCTTCATTTGCATGCTGGGGGGCAGGCGCACGGACAGGGAACGTGAGCAAAATTTAAACTGCATCAGGGAAATTCAAATAAGAAGTCAGAGACTGGGTTCCGGGAGGGGCTTGGTTTTGGTAGGAGAAGCAACCAAAACGCAGGCTTTATAACGATTTCAGTTACACCTTTAACCAAGTTAAATTCGCTCTCTAGCAGACTTTGTCTTCCCAAAGGCTGTGGCTGCAAAACGGCAGCCTCTACGCGTGTCCCAGCGTGTCCGGGAGGGTCGGAGCCCTGCCACCACCCAGCCCTGCCCCAGCCCCACCTGGCCTGCAGGTTCTCAATCTCAATGCTCTTCTCCCTCTCCATCTTGCTCAGCAGCTCCCTCTGCTTCTTGATCTCCTCCAGGAGCGTTTGGTCAGCTCTCAGCTCCTGCTCCTTCAGTTGTTCCTCGAGAGCATTTGCCCTGCGGAGAGAGGAGAGAGGATTGAAGGTTCCCGATGGCTCACCCCCCGCACGCTGCCATCCCAAGGGAGCCACAGGACGCCCCTCCCACCCCTTTTTTACTGGGAGAGCTGGGGGAAGCAGGCTGTAACACGGAGCGGGCTTTCAGGCGGGTGTACGAGGGCTTCACTTCGTCCCAGCAGATGCAGCGGGGAAGCGGCACGGTCCCCGAAACCCCCGAGGACACTACTGCTGACCAACGCGAGAGCCAGGTGGTACTCGCTGGTCTCGCCTCTGGTTTTATAGATCTCCAGGCTGCATCAAACCCCTTTTTAAGGGGGAGGCCAACAAGGGGGCGAGGCAAGGGTGAAAGCCCAGGAATCATTTTATAACCCACAGCCGGTGGGTCACGGTCGCCGCGTCACCCAGAACAAGCTACTTAATCGGAATCTCATGGAATCATAGAATCATTTAGGCTGGAAAAGACCTTTCAGATCATCAAATCCAACCATAAATCCCAGGGCTGTGGTTTCACCTGTAGCGGCCACGGCAGAGAAATCCTCCTGCAGCCGTTTCTAGAATTTTGGGCTCCTTTACTCTGCCCCGAAGTAGTCTTGTTGCCCAGAGAAAGGATGACAACAGCCCCAATCCTTCTCCTTTCCATCCTCTCATGTCCCCAGCAAAGGAATGCAGGATCTGCAGGTCAACCATCTCTGTGTGCCAGTGTAACGGGGATTTCCACGCGGTCCCGAGCCCGTGACGGCGCAGGCAGCGGCCGTGGCTGCTCCGACAGGGCAGGGGTAGCCCAAGGAGGCTGGAGTTTATGCCATCGCTTTGCATAGGCAGGTGGGGAAGGCTTTTGCCAGATCTACCAGCAATGAGTACGCTCGGGGCTTTACTTAATTAAAAGCTGACTGACACTTCTGGGCCAAGCCGCTGAAGTGAAATCATTTCCCTCGCTGCAAAGTTTATCAGGGCTTAGAGAAACCTTTGTTTGAATCGCTCGGTTCCCTGACACGGTGGTTACTTAACAGCCTTACAGCCCTATAGATAAACTCCTGCCGGCTTTATCTGCTGAGGGTAAATATGCTGTTGGAAGAGAGAAGCCTGCCAGATTAGTAAAGGCAGCGATTACATCAAATGGGATCCAAAGCACTACGCCCCAGCCAGGATCCGAAAGCAACAGGATCAAGGCTGGTAGCGGGGAGGGTAGAGATGGGCAGCAGGGACGCCACTGTACCTTCTACCCAGACCTAATGGGTGAAATATGGGCCAGAAAGAGTCCATACAGGGCGAGTATGAAGCGTATATCCTCCCCGAATGGGAAACTTTTCCAAGAAGCACAACCCCCCTGCGATCCTCTGAGCCAACCCCTGGAGCTCCAGGGCTCCACAGAGACCTTTTGGGATGGACACGTGGGGCGGGGAGGCACATTAAAAAAAAAAAAAAAAAAAAAAAAAGATATTAAGAAAAGATCTAAAAGGCACTGTTGTAGTTACACAGATCCGAGCGGAACATTGCAAGGGAGGCGTCTGCCATTTGTCCCGGCTGAGCCGCAGGCCCCTTCCTGCGCTCCTGGGAATTTGCCAGAGATGCAGAAAAGCACGGGCGGGATGCTGCGATCCCGCGCACGGCCCTTGCGCAGAGGTGGCAGCCCAAACCCCGGCCGGATTTAACCCCGCCAGGGTGGGATCGGATCGTCAAGGGCAGAGCTGTGAAGCTTCCCTGCTATGTTCTGTCCTTCCTCCTCCTCTCCTGCTGCCCCCTCTCCCCCGCAGGCTCCGGTGGGGAAGGCGCAGGGCGCTGCAGCATGTGGAGGGGGAAAAGGAAAAGGCACCACAGGCGACGCTAAGCTGAATTTTGGCACGGCACAAGCCAGGCGCTCTTACCTGTGCACGAGCTGCAGGTTTTCCTGCTTGAGGCGGGGGTCCGGC